TTTAATGAAAGTCTAAATTCTATTGTTAGTCAATTAATTAAATTCTTTTCTAATTACCTCCTTCGGTCGAGTCGTTCTTTCGAAAATTGGATATCAGTTTATCAAAGTAATCCAACGTTTCCTGTTTAGGCTGAACGCTGATATCGTCTACCATTTTTAAACTGGTATACCGTATCCGGAATTTGGCCATTATCTCAGCCATTCTATAGAAAAATCATTGATCGATGAATTTTCTTCTTAAATTTAATTTTTCTTTATTTTAGAAACATCTGATTTTGTTTAAACGAGACTTACTCTTTCTCTTGAGCGCCGATGTCCTGTTTGTGATTGGCCAGAGCGAATATCCTCATCTTGCAATGTTCCCAGTTGGAACGTGTGCTGATTATGTACGGCAGAAGGATCGTCAACCCTGTCGAATGAAAACTTCTGCCACTTACAAATGAGCACATTCTTTATCCTTATCAATATCCCCGACGATCGGCATGTTCATTGATTCATCAATTATTAAAAAAATAAATTTACAGAATTCAGAGAAGGATTACTTTTGATTTTAAATATATAGCAGTCGTTTGTGTAGAATAAATTGCTGATTGGTAGAAATTCAGAACATCCCGATCGTCGAGTAAATATTTTATGAATTACCTCCATCGTCGTACAGCCACCAAACGTCGATCGTCCCAGTTTTATGTTTCTTTTGGAAAATTGCTAAACGTTCTGGGACGGAGGCCATCGCGTGTCGTTTTTCCCTAAACAAATACATACCAATTAAGGATATATTGGCTATACAGTCAATCCTAAAAGTTTATGTACCTTAGAAGAACGCATTTCCTATAATTAAAAATAGTGCACTTGTCTTCTATTTTCGATATTTAATGAATTAAGTATGATTATTTGGCATTTCATTGATGTTGACAAAATCCGACCATTCCACCGTCGAATTGGCGAACTTTTGACAAAAAATTTCGTTTTTCTTCAATAACTCCTAAACCCTTGGAGATACGGGAAAATTGCATAGGACCTTTCTTG